ATATATATAAAAGAATAACAGGATCAAACGTACATTCGAAAAACATACCTTTTTAGATGCGTGTTTGTGATAATGATGTGGATGCAGCATACAAACGTAACGATCAATTGCCATACAAACAAGGATAACGGCACTTTGTTGGGTCAAAGCTCCTCTAAGAAGCGCCTGAAAAAAAGAAGAAAAAATAAATTAAACCAATTATTAATTACTTTTCATACTTTATAAATTGTTCGGAATATTATTTTTAAAGGTTTTTTTTCTTTTTTTTTTTTGCGTTTTTCGACAAACTTAAAAAGAACAAATAACATTTTCTCGTTCGAGTCAAGTATCTATACTTTTAAATACGATGCGCCAAAGGCGACAACGTGATTCGATGAATCGGTGACGCCAGTGTATCTATAAAGTAGCGACTACGAAGAAAGGAGTTAAGGGATAAGAGATGTGAGGATACTATACGTTTAAGATGGTTGCTATGGTGACCGTTGGCGTACAGCCAGGAAAAAGCTCCGATCTGGAGGGGCTAGGATCGCCCTGGCCTCGTTTCGGGCTATCCTCGAGACACTCCCGAGGGACCTTAACCGAATATTTTCACCGCACAACGAATTTATTCGATCGTTCTTCCAAGAAATTCACAGTTTCTCAATCTTCTTGGTTAGTTGGTTAGTAGGTGCACTCATCCTTTCGTTTTCCTTTCGCGAAAAATCAAATTCTCTTATTTGATCCGAAGATGGAAAAAATAAAAAATGCTTCTTTCCGATTTTACATTAACATACAATTACCGTATAACTTCTTTATTTTCTCTATAATAATAGATAATAGATCGTTTATCCAAATAATAAGAATAACACGCGCTTTTATTCCATCACTATCTTAAAATTATTTTTTGAAATTTGCTCGATTATCGTTAAGAAAATCCTTAATTAATATATTGAAGAAGAAGAAGAAGAAGAAGAAGAAGAAGAAGAAGAAATATGAAAATGATATTTGGAGGAAAATTATGACGAATAACTTGGATAACGTGTAACTACCAACTATTGGAAGAAATATACCGGATAAGGTACCGACTGCAGGAAGCACAGCTGCAAATTCCTAGTGGTGATAATTTCCTTAGCGCGGTATGAACAAGCTGCTGACATTTCCCACCCATTTTTCTTCGATTTCCTGTAGGAAATTCTCCAAGACGCATAGGATGCTGTATCAAAATTTTATCGGCAAAAGATAGAAAATATACGATAATTCGAACATTATACTTACAATCATTTAAATATTTACATATATTTATTCAATATGATATTAATAAGAGATGTAACTGTAAAATTTTAAATTCAATGAACGAAAATTTTTTTATTAGTTAGAAAAAAAACTTTTATACGTTATTGCATCACGATGATATTGCATCGAATTTATATTGTACGAAATGTATACGTATACGTAAAAGGAACGACTCTTTTCATTTCGAAAAGTTCTACTACGTAATCTACGTATCTTTTAAATATGTTATTCATCGCATCGTTAAATTATAATATACTTTATACATTGTACAACGATATTATATTTATAAATGTTATATCCATAGAATTGCATAGAAGAAATATATTATTGAAAAAAAACGTGCAAATAACGATATGAATGACAAAAACAACACATACATTTTATTACCTGTATTTGACACACAATTTCGCCGTAAGGCCAACATCCATAAACAGCTGGTAGAAAGCCGAATGGTGTAACCAGAAGACCAATAGCGAGATCGTTGCTCGCTAAACTTGTCAGTAAGTACTTTGGCTGCAATAAAGTTGAAGAGAACCTGTTGATCGTTTAGATTACATTGTTCAGGTGTTATTTCATTGTGCAATAAATATCTATTTTAAATGGATGGCTTCATTGAGATATATATATATATACGTTTCGATTGAATGAAAACTCGAGTAAAAATTATTTAACTCGAGTTTTATAAAATTACACGCATCATATAGTTTTTGCCAATTGATAATAAAAAAAAAGGAGAGAAATTGTTTTAAAAATCACCTATTTATTACCTATTTTAAATAATAAATCCTATAATCGTAAATCGATCGACATTTTTATATAATTATATACAATAAATACTTTTAACTATTTTTTATAAATTATACCAACCTGTGCGTGAATATATTTGCTGTATCGTCTGCTATTTATGACGCATATTACCAACAAATTGGCACAAAGAATACCGAGACTGAGCACAAGAATTAGAGTAGCGCGTAACAATTCTCCAGGGCCTGGTCCAGTCCAAGTGGCTTCGGACGTGTCTCTCCGCCAACAGCTGCTGTTGCTCAGCGCTGGTGCAAGCAAGATTGTTTGCTTGTGTTCCATTTTCTCTTTGGTTAACGTTTTTAAACGGTTGAAAATTCGCGTATAATCTCCTAGCCCAGACGAGACATTCGCGTCTCGTATGAGGCTGGGCTGGCAAATGCGTGACCCGACAATTTTTCATCTCTCCCGTACTTCTGGCCCGGCTAGCCTCGTTTTACCACCACTTGGAATAACTATCTCAACACCCGTCATTGTTGCGCATCAATTGAAACAAGTTATTCACTTCAACCGAGTACTAAATTCGACACTATCCGACATTCACTTTTCCAATTTCACGATTCACAAATCGTTCGATTTCGGTTTTCTTTTTATCTCTCATTTTTATCGTTATAAAATTGTATTTTCAAATGGCACATGATGCCAAGGCACGATCGATTAAGATATCTGTAACATAAAGAGGAATAAAATTTTCTATTATTATTCATTTCGAACGTAATAGAAATTCAGGAAATTTATATGTACTTGGATAAATTTTCAAATATTTTTCATTTATGGATATAAATAACGATATTTATCAACAAGATGGTCAATTATCGTGTAAAATATCCTGTTCAGTCTTTTAAAAATATGAATATTATCGATTCTAAATTAATATTTAGAGATAACATTTAGAGATAAATATAAATAAGTACAAATAGAAAGATTCAAATTTCATGTGTCACATCTTCCAGAATCTTATTTTCTTATTCTAATGCAAAATCTCAAAAATAACTTGAAATTTTCATTTTTAAAACTATGAAAAAATATGATCGTATATTTTTATATATATCGAAATAATAAATATATGTATATTTTGTTAATACGTGTGTATATATATATATATAATAAAACTAACAATTTTAATTAATCAAACGAGTAACGTGTTATAACTATCAAGATACGACATATATTAAATTGTACATATAGAAAAATAAGAAGAAATTGAATGCACATAATCGAGTACAACATAGTTATTTTCTCTCTTTGAGAAAACTTCCGAAAAACCGAATAACATTTTGGGACTATACTCGTCTATAAAATTAAAAGAATTAAATTTTTACGATTTTGAATCACTTTAATAAAGTTTATCGAAATATTTTTTTACGGGAATCCGATCCGATCCCGATTTCATTATCGCTGGGTTCTTTCACCGTTTCTCTGTTAAATAGATATATAATAAATAATTCAAATCGTAGCATCTATAGAATAAATAAATGAAATTAAATACAGTTTTAAGATCATTTTATGCGGCTATATAAAAAAGTTTCTTTCAAACTCGATCGAGACAAAGAAGAAAACTGAAACGAGAACGGAGAAATGTCCGGGGGCAAATTACGCTATGTATAATACGATATAACGGTTCCTTTCTTTTAATTATTGTAAAATCTACGATATTCTATTGAGATTCGTTTCGGCTCGTTAGTTACGTATACCCTTATTATTCGACTTTCGCTCTCATTGATTTTGCCTTTTTTTGCTTTTCTTATTTCTATTCACACTTTCGAAATCTTTCTTAATTTTTCTTTGTTTAATCGATTTAATATAAATACGCATAGTTTATTAAATTTATGTAGAAATGAGTATATCTTCGCAGATTGTTAATAGCATTCAAATGTAAATAAAATAATATATTTCGATAAGAAAGAAAATCAATAATCTCTTAGTTCTTTCACAATCACATTTCAAACATTTATTTTATTTTCTAATTAAATCTGTTTTCTAATTATTTACTGCATTGATGATGCGAAATTACGATCGGAAACAATTGCGTAAATCATTCTAATAAAAATATTTATTATATATATTTATAAAAAATATAGAATTTTGTTATAATTGTACGCAAATTATTAAACAATAAACAATAATCTTATAAATGACAACAAATACTTAACATTTCGAACGTTTTTATTAACTCGCAACACAAATATATAATTTTTCACTTATTATATTTAACAAATAAAAATCAATGTTAAATTATTCTTCTTTAATTTTATTTAGAAATCTGGTCATGATAATGAATTTTCGTGCATATTTTTCACATTATATATTCGGATACATGTTTTGCATAAATGCATTTTATATAAATGAATACAATAGATACAAGTTACAGATAGGCAAATATTATGAAACTAATCGATTAAATAAAGATCTAACTTTTTTCGAGAGCAACAAATTATTTATATCAATCTGATATCATTGATGATATCGTTATAGGCAATATTCTTTCAGAAATAAACTCATTTTTTCGTATAATTTTTATTTTAAAATTTGATCACATTGAAAATTAAATTAAAAAAAAAATTCTGAAGATAATGATTTCCGAGTCAATGAATGAGAAATGATTGAAACTTTGCTGTTTTTAAATTATTAAATTTTGAAATTTTTTAAATTTTTCTTTCGATTCTCGAAATATCGTCATTGAAGAAAAGAAAAGGATAACTTTTTAACGCATTTATTTCTTATTCTCATCATTCGGACTCTCTCTCGGAATCGCATCTCGCTTCACTGACCTATCCCAAAATCCTAGACAAGTTTTGAAAAACGTTTTTATTTCCAAAACAAAACGTAGTACGTATTTTTAGAAAGAATGACAAAATTTTTATTTATGATTTTATATTGCGATATAATATATTTTTAAAAAAAATTGTTCATTTCTACCAATAACTACCAATTTCATTTATTTTTATCATTATTTTATTTAAGAAAAATGATTCGATAATATTTATCTTTATATATATATATATATATATATATATATGTATGTATGTATATGCTACTAATTTTGCCTACCATTGTACGATACTTGTCTAACGAGTCTATCGGTTCCTCTATAATGATGCAATTCATCAATTTACAATGTCATTGTACGTGTGTGTGTGTGTGTGTGTGTGTGTAGGTATGTACAAGCATATTATGGATCTATTGTATATAACTTATCCTTCATCATTTACCACTAATAACAACATTATCAATATCAATTATTTTCAATGAAATCTTTTCAATCAATTACAAACAAAATTAATATCGTGAAAAATGTTTCACAAAAATATTCTAATATATATTAGAAAAAAATAGAAAAGTTAAAAGCATCGGTTAAGTTATAACAATCAGCTTTGATTTCGATTTATCGTTTACAAACTATTATTATTTATAATAATCGCTTAAAAAATAAAAATAAAAAATAAAATTATATGTACTTTTCATATTTTTTAAAAAGTAAATAATAATCAGATAGAACAGAACATTAACAGTTAAGATGAATTTAAAACGAATAAAAAAAACAAAACAAAATTTTCAAATTGCTTAATATACGTGTATAATATAAAAAACAGAATTAACAAATGAAAATAGTATCATTTTATATCACAAAATATTCCAAACTTCATTAAAATTCGCAAATATGCGACTTGACATATCGATACAACAGTGAGAATAAGACAAACGTGTCGTTCATTCAATATTGTATGGTAAATTAATGACTTATAGTGTAACCTTCATTTTAAATCAATTTCCAAACTTCTTGTTCACATTTCTTCTACCACTACATATATGGATTATAGGCATAATTATAATCGATTCACAATTATAATACGTTCAATTATAAAATCGGTTAAATCGTATTGATATAAACCTTTTGATATTATTATCTTTTAATAAAGAGTTAAAGCATATAATGTATCGATAATGATTCGATTCAACTTATTAAAGAATAAAGAACAAAAATAATATATTTCAATATTATTTCAATAAATATTGATATTTTGAAAATCAATTTTTCTTACATAAATGTTAGAATTTTATTAAATTATGAAACGCTTATTTTTACACGTTATCGCATTAAAGACGACAAAAAAATAAAGAAATAAATATTATAAACTAAAAGTCGCAATAAAAGAAACGAATATTTCTATTTAATTGATCGATTCAGATACTTTATTGAAAGATTTCATTGCGTTTTCACGATTGATTCTCGTTGTTGATTTTTTGAAAAGACTATTGATAAAATATTCGAGATGTAAAAAACAATAATGTAACATTAAGAATATTATGATCTCCGATACGAACGCATCAGTTAAAAATTGAAAATTAATTTTATTTAGATATATGCCTAAGTATGTATATATATGTATGTATGTCCGTATATGTATATATCGATATACACATACATGTATATAATTATACCATACGTGTATATATCGAAAATTTATCGTATAAAGAAAACAGGTATATTCGAAGAAGACCGATGATAATAAAAATAAAATGTATAAGTTAATTAATATAATATAAGTGATATAGTTGATATTAACAGTCAATAACAAATATTCATAAGATATGAATTATACATGGACTATATATTTATTTTAAATGCAAAACATTTCTATCATTTTTTTTTTTAATACTTATGTTAAATAAGTATTTATGTGAAATTTGATATAAAAAATGAGATCAATTTTTATTAATAAAAATGTTATATTATTTTTAGATATTTAAATCGAATCGAACGAATCAAATGTTCGAATAAATATTTAAATAAATATTGATCTAGCAAATTTATAAAAGATATTAATTTATATATAGAGATATGAAATATTATTCGATGACAAGTAAAATTATTTGATATGAAATAATTCGATTATAAAAATTTACACACATACATACGCGCGCGCGCACTCACACACATACATAAAATTGATATTTATATTTAACAATACGAAATAAATAAATATAATCAGAAACAAAAGAGTGCAAAGTATACAAAGAATACATACCTTCATATATGAAAAAAATTTGATAGAAACCATTGATAAATATTTAAATCACACTAGAGAAAAGATAATCACACTTGGATTTGAAAATTTTTGAGAAGAATTGTGAAAAATCAGCGCAAATAAATAAATCAATATAATAAGGGGAAATGAGGAAAATTTATTGAAATACTTTCTTTATTCCCGATATTTTATTTTTTTAATTTTGTTTACGTTTTGTGTACAATAACATACGCGTGAAACGATCACAAAAGTCGATCTAAACGATAAATTAAATATACCGATGAGCATGTTAAATTATTGAATTTCTAACTAATTTAAAGAATAATACTGGCAATCATTCTCTGTTATAAATAATATATGTAAAGTCACAACACGATATTTGATATATTCCCCCGACGAAGAAAATCTTTGAATGAACTGGAAGAAGAAAATCAGAAAGACAAAAAATAAAATAACATCACGACGACGCGAGGTCTGACGACGCACTGACTACCCGCTTCACTGCTCCCGACTCACGACAGCCTAACACTTGGGCTCGCCAGAGAACACCCATTGCACCGACATGCCAAAACTCATCCTCCCACGCGATTCTCCTCTACACATACCCGTCATCTTCGCTCTTTACTGATCGGAACCAAGTGATCCACTTTACCAAATATCCAACACCCTACACCACCACGGACGAGAAACAAAATAGGCGTGACATCTTATGGGATCTTTATGTTATATGTTCTGAAATACCAACCTCAAAAAGATCACATGGTGTTTCTCACGCCATCTAGCATGTTATAATTTAAATACGTATACAAAATTAAATCGTTCAAAAAATACAAAATAAAAATCTAAGCTTTATATATACGATTAATATTAGCAATTGAAACGAGAATATTTATTATCTATAACAATTTGACAAATATTTTTACCTATGAAAAATATAATCGCGCTTGCAATCAATTAGTTTATCTTATTTCTTATAAACATACAATTGTATCACTGACCATACACATTGATATTATTATGTATTATATATTAAATAATAATGATTTTCCATTGTCACTTGGATGTTGTTGCAAAGTAGAGACTTTTATCCTAATCGTCGACATCTCATCCATCCTCCTTTATTCTCAAATAAGTTCTCCTTTTGCAAAATATTCAAACATTTGGTTGTTGTGTAACACAAGCAACAAAAAGAATTTTAAAGAAAATCAACGCGGAAATCTGAAAACAAATTAATCCAAATTAACTTTCTATCGATATTTTCCATCAAAATCACGGAAGTTATGGATGATCGGAATAATAATTGTCCCTTACATATGTACAATCTCAAACTTCGTTTCGAAGAATCGATCGAAAGCAAAGACAGAAACCGAATGGCACACTGTCTCAACTTTATTCCCGATTTTTCAAATTTTATTTCCTGAAATAAATTGCTATGCGAAAGCTTACGCGTCTATCCGATTAGAAATTGCTGCCTAGTTATTTTGTATCTAACCGGCTAACGAACTTCGATTTTCTACAATCTCATTCTATCTTAAATTTTAACGATTTTTCTTTATTTTTCATCGATGTAATAAATTATATTAATATTATATAAATATTTATAAAAATAATGCAATGTATAACTTAACCTGAGCTAGTAAACAAAAAAAAAAGGAAATGTTACTATTCATGTAATAAATATCTGCGATCATTATGCTCGTGAAAAATTCTACATAAATACAACCAATCAATCCGTGTCCATTTGGAATTTTTGTTCTACAACATGATTGAGTGAGGGGAAGAATCAAAATGCATGCAATTCACTATTAGATGCGAAAAATCTGTATTGCTATTGTAAAGTAAGAAAAAAAAGTAACAATAAAAAGTTTGTATAGACTGAGTTATAATGTCATATAATGTAAGAAAAAATGATACATTATAATACAAATAAATAAGGATAAAGATTGAAATTCTAATAAAGTAAGATATAATAATAGTGAAAACTCAAACATTTGAAAACATCGAATAAAAAAATTGAAATTTTTGAGAATTGAAATACAAATTTTTTAATTGTAGAATAAAAATTTAAATAGAAAAAAAAAATAATTACCTTTTCGCGTGATCAATGATTGCTTTATTCTCTTGAGGGAAGCACTGACTCTATCCCTGTACCGAAAGCGAGTATTTAAAATAAAAAAATAAAAATAAGAAACGTATATTAACGCATCCGTTTATCTTCTTCAATCGGTGAACAAGCACTGATTTTAATTTAGCGATTATTGTCATTAAATATTATTAAAGTTAGTATGTTCTAAAAAAACGGAAAATATCATAACGAAGCGGATAATAATCTGAAAATAAAATTGTATTAATGGAATGAAAGGAATATAAAAATAAAAACAATATATGTTTTTTTTTTTCATATTTTCTTTCTCTTTCTCTATTGAACATTTGTTAAAAAAGATATTGTTATTTTTAAAAAAATTATACTTTGAATGTTCATTTACTCGAATTAATAATATTCCATATGAGAAGTATTCGACAATTTTTTCAAAATATAGAAAACTCAAAATTTAAAAATTCTAAGAAATCTTAAAAATCTTAAATATTAATAGTAGCAAGTCTTTTCTACCTTTTAAACTTATATATTTTCAATAATCAATATTATCAATTATATAAAAACTATACATACATATTATACAATTAATTATTTAGTAAAAAAAAAAAATTACAAAAAATATACTTACATATTCTATTTCCTCGATACAGATAATTTTATATCTCTTCCATAAAATATAATCTGTTATCATATCATTCATATCGAAAATCCTTTTTCCCTATGTCTAAAATAATCTCAGCAATCGGTTATCTGAGCAAAAAGAAATCAAATTTTTTAACTCAAATTTATAAAATGTATAAAATTAAATTGATTTTTGTATTAAAATAAAACAATAATCTAGTTCAAATCTTATTTTAGAAACATATAACAATCTAGTTCAAATAATGAAAACGAGTAAAAAAAAAGAATAAATTATTCTTGAAAGAATTATCAATTATAATAATATTGAATAAGTAATTCATAAAATCGAGCATAATGCGAACATGAATTGTCTATTTCCTGAAAAGACTTAATTAATTATAAAAAGTATTCTCGATCTTGAACCTTTTAGCGTAAAATAGATATGAAAATAATAACATACGTGTTAAATATACGAACAGATACATTTGGAAAAAAAAATTTATTAAAATATATGTGAAATACGTATATGTGAATTTGATTATAACGATCTAGCTATTTTCATTTAACTATATGAATAAAAGGAGTAAAGAAATTTATAATAATTTTGTTATAAAAGAATAAATCAAATTTTTTTATCACATTAATATGATCGAATTATCGAATTATCTTATAATTATCGTGATATGTGCAAGATATATTTACACTTATAACATTTTCAAAGATATTCCATCTTCCAAATTCCAATCAAATGACAATATGTTACAGAAATTCAATTCTCGTACAATGATTGAATGAACAATTGTTTATACAAAACATAATCTATAATTAAACTTAATAATTATATAATACAATATTTTAAAATAATAATTTTACATAATTACACAATAAAACGTGACCGATCATCACAATTTTCAATTGCAGACTGATGACATGCGCGTTTAGATGCGCACCGATTCATCTCGTCGTAAGATTTTAGCGTCTTTCTGATTGGCTGGAACGACATGATTTCTTATTTATTTCATGCGCGAAAATTGAAATATAATAATATGTATATTTTAACTATAAATTTTTATACATCTTACAAAAAGATACACCGATTAAAAATATAATATAAGAAGAAGATTATTATAATTAATTTAATATAATTTTATAGTAGTAATTTTATAATAATTTTATAGTTATAAAATTATATTAATCAATATTACATGATCTTATTTATAATTGTGAAAATCAATATCCATTTCTTTTTATAATTTATTTTCATGATTTTTTTATCTTTACTTTTTAATTTCCAACAATATATATAAAAACATGTACGTATTTATCATGTATTTATATATGTATTTGTATATATTTGTAATAAATCATTATGTGATATAAAATAAAGAATTAAAATTTATCGACATAAACTTTTTTTTTTATACATATATTCTTTAATATTTCATCTTATTTATATACATTTATGTATATTTTTATATTCTATTAATATTCTTAAATATATATATATATATATTTCGATAATAACAATATAATAAAAATATATAATCATAAATTTATTATTTTAATCTTTTAATTCTTATTATTTTGTCTTTCTAATATGTATATATATATTATTTTTTTTCATGTTTTAAATTATATTATTATGTAACATTTAATTATGAATACGTGTATTCTATAATATATTATAAATTGTAGAATGCGCTATCATCAATACCTACATAACCTTTGTATGTAAAATGATTACTTATATATACATACAAAGTTATATATTAACATATACATAACAAACAATTTCATTAAGATATCATAATATACAAATTTCTATAAAAAAAATACTTTTTTATTATTCGATTTATTATATATTCTGTTCTTCTGTAAGTAGATATTACAAATACACATACATATCATTGTACCATTTAACCTATTATTATCATTGATTAATTGTCAATTTTTAAACATATAATTTTTAAACATGTTGAAAAATATTTATAATATTCAGTATTTTCTTGACATTAAAATATACATATTGAATATAAATATGAAATACTTGAATGTTTTTAAATTATTGTTTATTACAACGATTTCCTTTCTTGTTTTACGTTTTATTTTGAAATTTCATCAATTTCATAAATATTCATATAATCAAAACAATTGCCATAAAGAATCATCTTTTATAAACTATAGCAAATACACGAAATTATGGCTACAAATAAAAACGTTATAGTTCTTGTACCAAACGGTCGTCGGCAAAATGTTGCGGTAACTCCAAATACTACAATATTACAAGTAAGCCGTAAAATTATTAATAAATTATTTATGTAGATATTTTTTAATTTCACGTTAATATTAATTGAAATATTTTTTTTCTAGATACTGGAAGAGGTTTGTCAAAAGCATGGATATAATGTGGATAATTATGATCTTAAGTAAGTATTTATTACAAAAATAAAATGAAAATAAAAGAGTGTAAGATATCAAGATAAAATATTTAATTAAATATATTTAATGTACAGGCATTTCAATCATGTATTAGATCCTAATGCTATATTACGTTTTACCGGATTGGCAAATAATGCACAATTAGAAATGATTCCTTGTACAAAAATACGTTCTACTTCCACTGTTGTAATAGGTATACAGTTAGAAAATGGAGAAAGATTGATGAGTGAATTTATGCCTAATGTAACATTAGCTGAAATTTTAAAAAATTTAAATGTCAATGAGGATTTTGAAAAAGTTACATTGATTTACATGCATCGTGAGGTACAAATAAATATATATATATATCTTATTATTAATATTAATAATATATATAATAATATATAACATATAATATAATAATTAAGTTTGAGAAAAAGTTGATTAATAATAATATCCAATAAGTTTTATATAAATTTGTGTTTTATTTTTATTTTTGAACTGATTTTTAATGTTATGTTATAGTTATACATATATTT